TATTTAAAATTTTGTCATCAATATTGATTAGGAAAATTGGTCTATAATTTTCTTTCTCTGTTTTGGCTCTTCCTGGTTTAGGTATCAGCACCATATTTGTGTCATAAAAGGGGTTTGGTAGGACTACTTCTTCACTTATTTTTCCAAATAGTTTCTATAGTATTAGAGTTAATTCTTCTTTAAACGTTTGCTAGAATTCACTTGAATTCCATCTGGCCCTGGAGATTTTTTCATAGGGAATTCATTGATGGCTTGAGAAATTTCTTTATCTGAGGGGAGGATTCTGGGAAGATGACAGAGTAGGTCACAAAATTTCAAGCTCTCAAGATCTTCCTCCACAAAAGAGATAACATGGCGCCTCAGGGCAAACATAGAGAAGTGAAAATAAGTAAGAGTGGGGACAGAACAGGGGTCCTCCTGGGACAATCAGAGATCTGAAGAAAAATCCCAAAAGGAGGTTTTTGTCCCTGTGAAAAGTAAACACCTCCAAGCTAGGCCCACTTAAAAACAAGCTGCAAACCCTGGGATTAGCTGGGTTGGGAGGCTGCCACAGCTTTTAATGAAGTTAATGATTTTGATAGTATTGCAAAGTATGGTATCTAACTGGTGATATTTTTTGGCTATCACTGCTTCCCCATGGATCATGCAGTGAGTAAAAGTGATATGTTCATTGCCACCAACTTTAACTTTTGCTACAAATCCAACATTCTCACCCATCATTGCTTTAGCACCATCTCTACAGACTCCAATGCAATTTTCCCACTCTAAACCTTCATTTGTGAAAAATTCATCAACTTTAAGATATATACATATACACATATATGTATATATCTTCCCCTCTTATGTGCCCTTCCAATAATTCCTCATGTATGCTTCCTTCATAAACATATCTTACATAAAGTAACAACTGTGTGCCATGTTAGAAATATCAGTTGTCCCATCTAACTGAATTGCAAACTTTGGGCTGCCCTTACACCTCGTAATACGCTGCTGGAATTAGTCATTACTAATTTCAGAAATTCTTTTGGAAACAGTATCATTCAATAAAGGAGGCTAACAAATTTCATCCCCATCCTTTTTCCTATGAATTATTTCTGACATTTTATTAGCAGCAGGTAACATGAGATCTTCTCCCATCAATTGGGGCTTTCTAGTTTTTGCAATTAAATAAGACATTTCCTAAGATGCAAGAAAATACTTTTCATTGACAGTAACAAATTTATCAAAACATTGTTTTCCTCTCTCTTTTTTTTAAGATTTTAAAAGTTGTTAAAAATTTTTCCTTTGGTTTATTGCAGCACTCTACTTGCTTGGTATTAAGATGTCATTTTAGTTTGTCTGGTTTCATGTTCTCTGAAGCCAAAACTTCATTACAAATTAAGAAAGAGGTTTTTCCACACCATCGTCATTATTAGAAGTAAATCCACAGTGCAACAATGATTTCACTTATTTTCTTTTTCTTGTCAATTTAGGTGTACTACAACCTGGTAGCAATGACTCTGCCACATTGTCGTCAGTATTTTTACCTCTTCTGTCTAAATTTAGTCACTTATCCATAACCAAAAAATAATTTTGTCCTAAAATATAAATAAATATTGTGAATAATTTCTCAAATAAATACTAGTTTTAGTTTGTGAAATTACATTTGTTTGTGCTTAATTTAAAAAATTGATGCTCACACTTATGTACACATATAACAGTGCTGGTGGGGGAATATTTTAAAGGGCTTTTGTCTTTACTTTCTGCAATTAAACACTAATGTTTCCAGAAAAGAAGGAGATAACTGGAGCCATAGTCAGGATAACACAAGATTTAGCAGCTTCTACATTAAAGCATTGGGGGGCTTGGAATATGATATTCCTGAGAGCAAAGGAGCTGGGATTACAACCAAGAATCACCTCCCCAGCAAAAATGAGTAAAATCTTTCAGGGGAAAAAAATAGACATTCAACAAGATAGAGAACTTTCAAGCATTATTGATGTAAAGACCAGAGCGGAATAGAAAATTTGACTTTCAAATACAAGACTCAAGAGAAATATAAAGAGGTAAACAGTAAAGGGAAATCATAAGGGACTTAATAAAGTTAATTGTTTATATTTCTAGGTGGGAAGATGATATTTGTAATTCATAAGACATTTCTCATTATTGGGTTAGTTAGAAGGAGTGTATATAGATAGAAGGCACAGGTGTGAGATGAATATGAAGGAATGATATCTAAAAAATAAAAAAGTAAGAGAGGAATGTACTGGGAAAAAGAGAAAGGAGGAGGTAGAATGGGGTAAATTATCTCACATAAAAGAGTCAAGAAAAAGCTTTTACAGTGGAGGTGAAGACAGGAGAAGTGAAGGTGAAGTAAGTGAACCTTACTCTCATCAGAGTTGGCTCAAAGAGGGAATAACATACACACTTAATTGGATATAGAAATCTATCATACTAGGAGAAGGGAATAAGAGAAGGTGGGTGATAGAAAAGAGGGCAGATGGGGGACCATTAAGTCAGAAGCAAAACACTTTTTAGGAGGGACAGGGTGAGAGGAGAGAGAGAGAATAGAATAATTAGGTTGGAAGAGTAGGATGGAGGGAAATACAGTTAGCAATAATAATGGTGAAAAAAAAATTGAAGCAAGTTTCTCTGATAGAGGCCTCATTTTTCAAACATATAGAGAACTGAATCAAATTTATAAATATAAAAGCCATTCCCCAATTGGTAAATGATCAAAAGATATGATCAGTTTTCAGATGAATTAATCAGAGCTCTCTGTATTCATATGGAAAAACACTCTAACTATTGATTAGAGAAATGCAAATTAAAACAATTATGTGGTACTGCATCATAACTATTAGATTGGGTAATAGGACAGAAAAGGTAAATAACAAATGTTGGAGGGGATGTGGGAAAAATTAGACATTAGTGCACTGATGGTGGAGTTATGAACTAGTTTAACCATTCTGTAGAGCAATTTGGAACTATGCCCAAAGGGCTATGAAATCACTCAAGCCCTTTGACCTAGTAATACCACTACAAGTTCTGTATCCCAAAAGAGATAAAAAACAAAAAGGAAAGGGATCTATATGTACAAAAATATTTATAGCAGTTCTTTTCTGGGGGTGAAGAATTAGAAATTGAGGGGATGCACATCAATTGGGGAATGGCTGAATAAATTGTGGTATGTGATTGTGATGGAATACTATTGTGCTAAAAGAAATACGGAGCAGGATGCTCTCAGAAGAACCTGGAAAGGTTTACATGAGCTGATGCAAAGTGACACGTATTGTGTACAAAGTAACAGCCTTGTGGTAAGATGTGAATGACTTAGCTATTCTCAGCAATACAATGATCCAAGACAACTCTGACGGACATATGATGAAAAATTCTATCCATCCCCAGAGAAAGAGCTGATGGTATCTGAATAGATTGGAGTATACTTCTTAAACTTCCTTTATTTTTCATTATTTTTTTCTCTGTTTTCTTTCACAACATGACTATTATGGAAAGTTTTACGTGACTGCACATGTATGGCCTATGTTGAATTGCTTGCCTTCTTAGTGGGGGGGGGGGGGGGGAGGGAGGAAGGGACAGAATTTGGAACTCAAAGTTTTGAAAATGAACGTTAAAAATTGTTTTTGCATGTAACTGGGGAAAAATAAAATAGTAAATAAAAACATGAAAAAAGGAGATAATAGTAATTTAAAAATCAAACATTCTAACAGAATACAATCTGAAGACACATTAATTTGATACTTACCTGCTGAGGAACGATGGTAGGAAAATATTAAAAATGTTTATTTTCCATAATTAAACTATTATGTTTCTGTAAGAGCAGAAAACTTTGTATGTACAGCAAAAACACTGCAATTTATCGCATATGACAGTCTCAAATCTGATCCAAGGGGTTTCTGGCAGTATTCATTGGCATTGTACGTTGTGATGGCATGGTCCGGTGCACAGTGTGCACGCCTTGTGTTCAGGGCTGCAGTGAAGTTGTGAGATGCAGCGTGGGCAAGCGCTGCCAGAAATGCCTTGGATTCATTACTCGTTGGATTTGGAATGAAGTTTCCATCATTGCACGTTGACTTTTACTGTTGCCAAATTTTTCATGACCCACAGGTAAAGAAGCGCTGGTCTCATCTTTCTCTTGCTACTCAGATGACCTGGAACCTGAGTAATAAGTCTTCAAAGATGGATGATGGGTTGATTTGGCAAATGTTGGCAATGATGTAGCTCTACCCCTCTCCATCTGAGGGGAGGACACAGGGAGGGGCGGGTGAGCGATGGGATTAGGAACTCCCAGCCCCTCAGGTAACCCTTGTAGCCCTTAGGTTAAATAGCCTCTGCCCTTTGGGGATTCAGAGTGTGAGTGAAAGTTGTGAGAGTGCCCTCCAGGCAGGTCTCTGGGTCCTTTTCTGTGCTGCCTCCAGGAAACCTCAGGAGGGGAGAAAGGTTGGTGCCCTGCTTTCAGCGGCTGGAAGCGGCATGGCAAACAGACTTCCCACCTTCTTTACTGTGGCCAGCTCCAGGCACCTCCCATGTCTGACAGGGCGTGTTTCTGCCCAGTATGTGGCTGACAGTGGACGGTGGAGTCTGTGACTGAGCTGAGGGCTGAGTGGGCTGATCTCAGTGTCTGTGGAGAGAAGACCCGGGATTCCAATGTCGCAGCTAAGGGGATGAAGGGGTAGTTCAGCCGCATTCTGTAGGCTCTACCTTTGCTTGGGGTGTCCTCAATGACTTTGGGCCTGTCTCCAGCAGGGGGCGCTGTGGGACTGCCTTGGACGAGACCTCCTGAGGCTTGATCACAGCTGATTCATCACACAATCCTCTCTAGAGCTGGCAGGGGACGTCTGTCATCCCTGCCTGAGCCCCGGGTGCACCTGCGCTGTTGTCCCCCTGACCTGGTGTGGTGAAGAGAAGTATTTGCATGAGGCAAAGCCACATCCTCCCAGAGTGGGCAGCGGGGGCTTAAGAGGCACCGGCAGGAGCCCGGCCCAGCTCTGAGCCCCAGAAACAGCATCTCCAGCATGGCCTTGACGGCTCTCCTCATGGCGTTGCTTGCTCTTAGCCAAGGTTTCGGGGGAGAAACCTGGGGAAGGCTGAGCATGAAGCAAGGCAGCGATGCCTCTGGCACCATCCTGATGTGTCTGTCTGTGCTGTTGGTTTCAGGGGCCAGTTCTCAGGCAGTGGTGACCCAGGAGCCGTCTCTGAGTGTGATCCCTGGAGGGACAGTCACCCTGACCTGCAGCTCCGGCACAGGGGCCGTCACCTCTGGGCACTATCCCTACTGGTTCCAGCAGAAATCTGGCCAAGTTCCCAGGTTACTCATCTATAATACCAACATTCTTGTATCAGGGGTCCCTGCCCGGTTCTCAGGGTCCCTCCTTGGGGACAAAGCCGCCCTCACCATCAAGGGGGCCCAGCCTGAGGACGAAGCTGACTACTACTGTGTCCTGTGGTACAGCAGTGCAACTCAGTGTCACAGTGATAGATTCAGATGGGGAACTGAGACAAAAACTCACTGCCCCAAACGTCGCTCTGCTACAGACCTTGCCCTTTCCGTGCTGAGGGGAGCGGGGAAGGAAAGAACTGGGTTGTTTATTACGCCACCCTCGCTCCACTAGTTAAAATGGTGTGGTACGTCCAAATTATTTCATAATATTGTGACGTTTTCCTTGGTCAATATTTCTTTAGATGCCACTTCAGATCATCCTAGAGAGAGGTGTCTGAATGCATGGCAGGCCCTCTGCCAGTCTGGACATTTCTCTCTCTAAGCTAGGAATGTTTGGATTTAGAATAATGTGAAATTACTAAACTTTGTTGAGGGTGGTTGTTGTTCGGTGGTTTCAGTCGTGTCAGACTCTCCGTGGCCCCATTTGGGGCTTTCCTGGCAGAGATACTGCAGTGCTTTGCTTCCTTCTCCAGCTCCTTTTACAGATGAGAAACCGAGGTAAACAGGGTAACGTGACTTGCTCAGGGTCGCACAGCTAGTGAATGTCTGAGGACAGATTTAAACTCAGACAGATGAGTCTTCTGGACTTCAGGTCCAGCACACTATCCACTGTGCCACCCAGCTGCCCCAATTCGCCAGACATGATTACAATGTCGAGTTCACTATTAATATTTCTTCTTCAAAGCCAGCGATGGCTCTTGGGCCCTTCCCAGTGACATCACTGGAAGGCTGAGGGCTGGGTGACTAGCCTGGACCTCTGAGGCCCTATGAGTATAAAGGCCAGCTGAAACCTCTGTCCCATGACCTCAGAGTGGCCAGACCTCTAACCAGTGGGGCAAGTCATCCCTCAGCAACGGAACTGCACAAGGAGCTGCAAAGAGAAAAAAAACAGACTCTGAAGGAGAAGGGGGTGGTGTCTCTCTTCGACGTTGCTGGCAAGATTCCTACCAGAGTCCTCCTCGATAGGCTGGTCCTTTACCTGGAAGATGGCCATCTACCTGAGAGCCAGTGAGGCTTCAGAGAGGGCTGAGGAAGGGTCACCAATGGAGCGAAGCAGGGCTGTGTGCTGGCTCCCATGCTTTTTAGCATGATGTTTCCAGCAGCGTTGTTGGAATCCTTCAATGAGGATGATAACAGCATCAAGATCAGCTATTGCATGGATGATTAATTATTCAACTTGAAAAGGCTCTGAGCCCAGACTAAAGTGGAGTGAGACTTGATTCTTGACTTCTTGTTTGCAGATGACCGTGTACTCAATGCAATCTCTGAGACTGAGATGCAACACAGTGTGGATCCATTCTCTGCTGCTGGTGCTAATTTTGACCCGACTATGAACACCAAGAAAACAGAGATTCTCTGCCAACCAGCACCACACCATCCATACACGGAACCAGAAGTTACAGCAAATGGAGGAGTTGTTAATACTGTGGATAAGTTCACTTATCTTGGCAGTATATTTTCCAGGGATGCACACATTGATGATAAGGTTGATGCATGCATTGTCAGAGGTAGCTCAGGGTTTGGCAGTCAAGTGCTATTACTCTCCTACCAAACGAAGGCATAGCCTGTTGTGCAGACCTCGTTGCTGTACGGCCATGAAACCTGAACAATCTACCAGCATCATTCCAGGAAATGGAATTGCTCCCATTTGAATTGTCTTCAAAAGATTCTGAAGATCACTCGGCAAGATAAGGTACTGGACAGCGAGGTCTTTCCTCAAGCTAAACTGCCAAGTATTCAAGCCCTACTGCAGAGGGTGCAACTCTGATGGGCTGGCCATGTTGTTCAGAGGACAAACGTACATTTGCCTAAAAGAGTGTTTTGTGGAGAACTCACATAAGAACATCTCTCACACATAGGTCAGAAGAAATTATATGAGGACACTCTCAAGAGCTCTCTAAAAACTTTGGCATTGACTGGGAGATACAGGAGATAGTGGTACAAGACCACCCAGTGTAGCATGCCCACATCAAAGAAGGTGCTGTACTCAATGAAAGGAGAATTGTGGTAGCTCAAAAGAGATGACATGACTATTTGTGCTTGACCTGTAGGCACGCCCTTCTGAGCTGTATTGGTGTTCTCAGCCACAGTTAGACACACCACACAAGGGTCCTGACAGAGTGATGGCGTTTTTGTCCTCTGATTATGAAGGACAAGACCAATGAAGTATATGTGTATAAATGTGTGTGTGTGTGTGTGTGTGTGTGTGTGTGGTGTGTCTACTTCTGGACAGGGCTAATGAAGACATTTGTTTTGCCTGACTTTACATATTTGTAACAGGGGTTTTGCTTCTTTTTTCTTTCTCAGTTGGGGTGGGTAGAGGAATGGAAGGCAGAGAAGGACAATTTTTGCTGATTAACAAAAAATGTATTTCAAAACAGAGACATACAGGGAGCCCTGTTAGTAGAATGAGGGGAAAGTTCCCATTGGTCATTTTATAAGAACTGAAATCCAAAAATATACCTTGGCTCTTATTCGCTGGCCTGGAAAGGTTAGATTGCCAGTACAAGGAGACGAACACACAATTGTTGCCCCAAAGGCAGAGGACGGTATCAGTATTTATGTTTTTCATAAACACACAGGCAGCCGCATGGTGGGAGAGTGGCTGGTGCCCTTTCCACACTTACATCAGGACGATGTTGGGACCTGCAGACCAGCTTTCCCTCATCCTTGATCAGGGCAGCACCAAAGTCCCTCCGATTCTCATGACCCCTGCCTTCCAGGGTCATTGTGAGGATCCCATGAGATCACAGATAGGGAATGCTTTGCAAACCTTAACATGGGATGTGAAGGCCACCTGTTACTAGTGTTGCTTTTACTACAAGGATGGTTTGTAGCAGACACTGGAGGATGGAGTCGGTGACTCTGGTCACCTTGGCTGGCTGGGCTATTCCTGAAGACTGTGTCCAGAGGAGAGGGTTGGGATCTCAAGGCCACAGCCCAAAGAGATGGGGCCATGGTACCAGATGACTGGCACATACAGGTGTTCATGGCATCATAGATTTATAGCAGGAAGGGAACTCAGACATCATTAAGTCCAACCCTCCCATTTTACAGTTGGGTAAACTGAGGCAGAGGGAGAGCAATGTAATTCTCACGGGTGGTAGGCATCAGAGGGAGGATTGGAACTCAGAGTCAGTGTTTCATCCACTGAACCACACTGGTTTGGTGATTGTGGCCATTTCACTACCAGATATTGGGGAAGGTTTGTAGCAGTCATATTTGGGGTGACCTAACACACTGAGTGACTCAGGAAGACCACAAAAAGTGTTGGGGCTGGAAAGTTGTGGAAACCATCTGTAGGTGAAATAGTTGGTACCCCTGGGACCACACCTGTGGGGGCTCACTCCTAGTTAACATTAAATTATTATTACTATTATTATTAGTCCAAGACCTATACATTTTCTATTCACCTCTCTTTCATCCGTTATTGCCAAATCCATAAGATGTGACTTCCTCTGTGAAAAAGTGACAATCCCAATTTAAAATAATCTGAAGATAAGACAGCACCTATGTCTGACTATATCTGAATATTGTGTGCAATTCCAGGCCCCACAATTTGAAAAGACATTACGTGCAGGGGAAGCCAACTAGGAGAAGGAAGAGATTGGAAACAGTGTCATTGGAAAAGCAGTTAGATTGGGAGAAACTTGGGTTTTTGAGTTGTAACTCTTAAGGTAAAGAAGAAGGTAACAGAGCATTGGCCAATGGGAGCTCCGTCCTCAGAGCCTTCTCTACTTGCTGCCAGAGCAGCTTGGGGTACAGGTTGTGGGGCGAGGGGGCTGGGGGCTCACCTTCTTGAAATGTGTGATGGTGTGTAATGGAGGGCCTTGATCTCCACTTCAGAGCATGCACAGGTATTTGACAATGCCCTTTAATGCCGCTGCCTTCCCTCCATTGATTATTTCCAATTGACCCTCTATATAGAGCATTTGTCCAGAGTGGTTTGCATGTTCTCTCCCTCAGACAGTGAACACCTCAAAAGCAGGAATTTTTGCCTTTCTCTGTATTTTCAGTACCTAGAACAGAGCCAGAGTAGGTGGTTCATAAATATTCCCCAAGTGGCTGAATAACTGACTCTTTCCAGTCTGTTGACCATAGGTTGAAAGAATGGACATTTGGCTGGTTATGTCTCATACCCAAAGAGGATTTTCACTGTGTCATCTTGGTGCTCCTTCTTTGGGAACCCCAGCCCCACCAGTGTGAGAAAAGGTTTAACTGAGTAAGCCAACCAAGAGGGCAAGAATGAATAGGCTCAGGGCAGCAAGATGGTGCAGTGGATAGAGCACCGGCTCTGGGGTCAGGAGTACCTTAGTTCAAATCTGGTCTCAGATACTTGACACTTACTAGCTGTGTGACCCCGAGCAAGTCATTTAACCCTGACTGCTTCACACAAAAAAGGAATAAGTAGGCCCCATGCCAGGTACTCTGCTTTGATCCTTTAAGACTCAGTCAATGATCTCACTCTAGGAATGCTAACCTTGGTTGTGTAGGGATAAAGTGCAATACTTTGAAGCTATTTCGTTCCCAGATTTTGTCCTCCATGGGTTTCTAATCGCACTGCTAGCACTCAGATTGACAAAATTGAAACAGATTTGAATGACGGAGCCAGATTTTAATACACTGACACATACATTCTAAGAAAACATTTACAATAATAGACATTACCAAAATGGCAGTTTAAAAAGGAGCTATGATAAGCTGCAAGTGGGAGGAGTATCAAAGACAGCCCAAAGGGCTTACCCTCCATTCTTTTCACAGTGGTGAAAATTTCCATAATGTGGAAAACAAGAGACAGCTCATAGATGAGGGGAGTCACAGAACCTCCTCCCTCCCAAAAAAGAGTAAATCCATGCAAGGCGGCTTCCCCTGGCATCTTGGATGGTCATGGGCCAGTCTGTCACTGGCCCTTCAAGGTTTGTTTATATTCTTGGGGAGCAGTGAAACTCATTGGTGCTCATCTGAGCAATACAGCTCTTTAGAGTCCATGTAATAGACTCCAAATTTGATGGTATTCTGGCTTCAACCTTCACCATCGACCTCCACCCCCATTCTCCTGTTCATAATCATTTGCCTTCCTCTTTGAAGTTTTAGAGAAAGCACTGGATTTGGAGGCAAGAAGTTCAGATCTGGATTCAAATACTGACTAGTTGTGGCCTTGGGCAAGACACTTAACTTCTGTTTGCCTCAGTTTCCTCCACAGTCAAATGGGGATAATATGTATAAAGGGTTTATAAAGGGTACCAGTGTTTGGTATGTAGAAAGCACTATATGTAAGTGCAAGTTATTAGTATTGTTACTTGTTTTTTATTCTGTTTTCCAGCCCCCTTCAAGGCAATAGGTGGGAGAATCAGGCTTGCAGATGGCACTTGGTAAGAGGTCACAGTTGCAGCAAGACCAGTGCTTCTTCACTCTGGTAATGATACTGAAAGAAAATGATAAAACTGGGAAAAGATGGCTATAAGGACACCAAGTGCTGCTTCCTGATATCAGAGCAGAGCTGCCCTGTGAGTGGCTTTGTGGTTAGAATTAAGCAGCCAGGAAATGGTTACTAAGAGTAGAGAGATGATTTCTCTTTGTATTGTGACTTAGACAGTAGGGGACCACTTAGAGCTCTTCCCTGAAAAGGTCTTTGAGTCAGTGGAAGATGAGATTCAAGAGAGTTGTTGGGGATGTGGGAGAGTCCTAGAGATTTTAGACCCTGACACTGCTCCTTTCAAATTTATCTTGAAATTCTCACTTTTCAATTTTGATTAAGTGAATGTACAAAAATTTCTTATCAGCAAGAGGCATCAAAGATTTGGGCCAGTCATCACTGCCCAGTCCTTAGGTGCATTTGGTGCCTAAGTTTTGTAGAGTCCAACGCATCAGACTGACATCAGAGATTGATATGATGGATGGAAACTGTCACAAGTGAAATTCAACAAATGTAGAGTGAGGCATATATTCTCCAAACATGATACGATTTTATTAACAGGGGCTCTATCAGCCGATAGAATGGGTCAATAGGTG